GTAAGAGCCATTTTTCATCGCGTCTCTATGAGTTGTAGAGAACTTGACAGCACATAACTCCAGGGTACCTGATCATCCTGTTGTTGTTATGTGCCTGCAACTCATAGCGACCCTACAACAGCCCTAAACCCCGCTCTATCCTGTGCCAATCTTATTGTATCTGACAGACCTTCCCCGATTACCTCAGTCACTGACTCAATCCATCTCATACAGGTTCTTCCTCTCTTGTGTTGTTCCTCCACCCTCCCAAGCATGATGTCCTTCTCCAAGGACTGGTCCCTCCTTGCAACATGTCCAAAGTATATCAGACGAAGCTTCAGAACCCCTGCCTCCAAGGAGAAGCCTGTTTTCACCCTCTCTAGGACAAACCTGTTTGTTCTCTTAGCAGTCCATGGTATATTTAATAATCTTCTCCCATCAATTCTCCTTCTATCATCCCTAGTCATTGCCCAGCTCTTTGACACATAGCAAGCTACTGTAAAGAACCTGGCCTGAATCAGATGCACCTTAGTCTCCAGACTGACATCATTGCTCTTAAGTACTTTGAAGAGTTCTATGACAGCAGACTTCCCCAATGCCTGATAAGCTACTTATGAAAAGTTAGGTGTTGGAAACCCCTATGGAGGCCAGTACCCTCTGACAAGGGGTGCTCATGCGTTGGAATTGTCTTACCTTAACTAGGGGTTATGGCATAGGGACAGGCACTGAGAAGATACCCAGAGCTTGTTTCTTGAAATGGCCACAGAGGGTGACTGAGAGAGACTCACTTAAAAAAATAAAGTGAACCACAAACTAGACCTGACTGTCTATTTGGAAAAGAATCATGACTGACTCTTGGGTTTCTGAAGTTGTAAACTGGACGGGAGATTGACTATCTTTCTCACTAAGCTGGTGGTGGATTCAAACCATAGGAGGCCCTAAAGCTAGCCATGCAACTCTGAGGATTAGAAAGACTGATACGTTTGTTGTTGTTTTTGTAAGCCCTCAAATTCATTGCTATTGAGTTGGAACCAACTCATAATTAACCCTCCTGGCGGGTTTTGGAGGCTGTAAATGGCACAGGTGGAGATTGCCCATCTTTCTCCCACAGAGCTGCTGACGGGTTCAAACCTCCAGAGAGGCGCCACCTTTGGGTTAGCAGCACCAAGTCTATGGATAACACCACCACGGCTCCCCTGAGAGCCTTATATTTGCCTCATAACTCTCTCCTTGGCCTTATCCCCAAGACAGCCTCGGGGGAGATCCACGTGGAACGATCCAGTGACTTGGGGACTTTCTCATGCTAGGCTCGTGCTGCCATCTAGTGGCGGACGGAAGAAGCCGGACTGGGGTGATGAGCCTGAAGCCGGGCTGGTGGGCAGGCCCTGGGGAGGCCTGGAGCACGCCAAGTCAAGGGCAGCAATTGCTCTGAATAAAGAAATTAATAATAATAATAAAAAAATTTAAAATAAAAAAAACAGCTACTGTTTGCTAAGCCTTGTCTTACTGAGCCCAAGACCAGGCTAAGTGCCTTTACACTTTGAAATGTTGAATACTCTCGGTAACCCTGGGTGAGGATGAGGAAACGGAGGCTCAGACAAATCTAATAACTAGCCCAAGTTCAACTTGTCAGGGGCAGAGGCAGTAATCAAATCCAGTATCTGACTCCAAAGTCTGGGTTTCTAAGCACATTTCTAGAGTCGTGGGAGAACTGTCCTCCATCTTTTCTGTGTTCCACCCCCTACTCCCCACCCAGACCTCTATTCCCTGAACTACAAAGGCTGAGCCTGTTCTCTACAACACACGATCTTATTTTTATCTCTGTGCCCCTTCTGAGTGCCCTATCCTGAGTAAAGCCAAATGGAAGCTTTCCTCCCTCCGTCTGAATGGAGATTAGAAGAGGGAGTCCCTTGTCTCCATCAAGAAGCACTAAGACACTGTAGACTAACGTTGCATCCTTCTCCAGCTTGATAAGTGAAATGTGTTGTGCTGTGCTGTGCTGTGTTGTGCTGTGTGAAATGGGAGCTTGAGTTGTGTGAAATGGGAGATAAACAAAGCCCCTAAAAGACACACTATCTTTTCAGATAAGCCTGAAGCCCCATAACATCAGGGCTCTTTATTTTTAGAGCCTTATACATTTTTTTTTTTTTCTTTCCTCTTTCTAAAAAATGTATCCAGACCCATTTCACAGGGTTGAGAGATTGAGTTGCATTGAGTTTCTTTCCAGGGAGTTATGCACCAGCAGCTCTAGAGAGAAAGATGAGCAATCTCCTCCCAAAAGATTCACAACCTCTGAAAACCTACTGCAGGGTCAGTTTGGTTCTGACTCTACAGCAGTGTGAGAGAGTGGGTGGTGGGGCACGTTGAAAGGAGATTTGGTGGCACAGCGCACTCCATGCTGGATCGCTAACCAGAAGTTCAGCAATTCGAATCCACCAGCCACCTGAGGCAGGAAGATGAGCAGCCTGTCTCTTTAAAGATTTCCAGCTTTGGAAACCCAATGGATGAGTCAAAATTGACAGTTATGAATTTACGTAATTTCAGAGAGTCCTGGTGGCTCAATGGTTAAGCACTTGGCTGCATCCCAAAGGCCAGCAATTCAAACTCACCAGCTACTCCAAGGAAAACAATAGGGCAGTCTGCTTGGAAAACCTACAAGGCAATCCTGCTCTGCTGTCCTATAGGGTCGGAATTGACTTGGTGGTAGCAAAAGTTTCTTTGGGTTGAGAATGGTCCTTAAACTTTATCATTTCTCCACAAGAATCAAAATGTGTCTGTAGTAACTGAAATTTATTCAACCAAACTAGGTTTTGATGCCTTTAAACAAATTAAGAAAAACAAAAAAGACTAATGGTACCATCACCAGTGCTTCTTCTCTGAGCACATCCTGGGCCAGTGTCTCTTCTCATGCAGGCACACCCTACTGTCCCCACCAGTTAGTCAGTCCCCATTCTAACCAATGCCTGCCTGGCAACAGGCTGGCCTTTACTTCCAGGAATGGACAGCCTTTCCCCTCTAATCTGTCAGTTGCTGATCTTACCACTTCCCAACCACTGCATATATTTCTTTCCCTTTTCTTAAAACCTTTTGATTGGGGGGGGGGGGGGGGGGGGGGAGAGAAGTGCAGCAATGAATGAATGGAAATCCGAAATATCTGTAAATGTTCATTAAAATTATTAAAATACAATAATTTTTTAAAACTCCATTTGATTAATTAACTTCACTCATTTATTACTTTGGGCATGTTGCAAGGAGGGACCAGTCCTTGGAGAAGGACATTATGCTTAGAAAGGTGGAGGGTTGGAGAAAAAGAAGGAGACCATCAATGACATGAATTGCTACAGTGACGGGGTAATGAAGGTAGGTGTGTCAGAGACAATAAAGTTGGCACAGGTTAGAGCAGGTTTCAGGACCGTGGTACAGAGGATCGCTCTAAGTTGCAAGCAACTTGATTACACATAACAACAGCAACAACAACAACATTTTGTCAACATTGTTACTAATCTACTATTTGCCAACTTTTCATTTGCTTGCTATGCATCTGAAAGCTAGATAATGACTAAGGACAACAGAAGAAGAATCATTGCCTTTGAATTACAGTGGTAGAGGAGAACATTGACCATCCCATTGGCTGCCAAGAGAACAATCCCAGAGGAAGTGAAACCAGGGTGCTCTTTGAAGGCAAGGATGATGAAAAATCTGTTGCACGCACTTTGGGCATGCTACCAGGAGGGGCCAATCCTTGGAGACAGGCGTCATGTTTGGAAGAGTGGAGGGGCAGCGCAGGTGAGGAAGACCTTCAACAAGATAGGTTGACACAGTGACTGCAATGGATCAGATGTGCCAGAGATGGTCAGATTGATTCAGGACATGGCAAGGTTCAAAGACTTGTTCATAGGGCTGCTATGAAATATGACTGACTTGATGGCACAAAGCAACAATTATTTGTTAGGCTCTTGGATAGAGTCACTCAGAGCTGGAAGGAAGACCAGTAAATTAGACAATGACAAGGTGGTGTCGAAAATGCTAAACCAGTATTATCCAAATGGTGCCATGGGGGGCCCTTCTTTCATCTTCTTGTCTCACTTCCTCATCCTTTCCCAGCCCTGTCTCGGCTTCCCAGCCTTCACTCACTGCAGATCCTCTGGGATTCACATACAGAAATATGCCTGGCTGGCCCCTCTGACCCTGGCCTGGCACAAATACAACCACAAACTGAGAAGGAGCTGCAGCAGCATTTGGAAGGAAAACTGCTCTGGTGGGAGGCAGAGGAGATGCCCATAGATGTCCCCAAAGTGCTGGCGCCGGAAATACGCTTGTGGAACAGATAAATGAAGAACAGATGAGTGATTGATAAATGAAGAGATGACTAACAGGAAAATGAATCAACAGATGGTTTAATGAATGAATCAGAGGATGAATGGGCCACCCTTGAAGCAAACGTAAATGTTTGTCTTTCGAACTTCCATACTTGTTCATTGAACTTCATGCTCCCCAGAAACATCTCTCTGCATATTTTGCTTAAGTCAGAATCGTTCTGAAGATCATTGAGAATTTCACAACATTCCTAAGAAAACTGGAGCTGTAGGGAGAGTTTTAGAACCAGGACAGGCTGGGGCTCACTCAGACAGACGTCAGCTGAGTGGTTCCCCCTTTCCAGTGGGCAAGGAGCTCCCTTTACCTCAGGCTAGACGTCTTGGAAGGGAACTGGCTTTCTGGGACAGAAAGCTAAAGAAGTTTGGCTAAGGCTTGTCTCTCAACCAAACAGACCTATCACCCTAGTCAATAACCAGAAAGCTGGATGTGAATTACTTTGTCAACTCACAAATGCTGTGAATCCTTCTGAAGAGAATATTAGAGGAATTTTGTTGTTCTTGTTGTTGTTGTTGTTGTTGTTGTTGTTGTTGTTGCAAACCATTACATTCTACCACATCTGTCTATTCTGCAAATGTAACTCTTGTGCTACAAAGAGCAACAGGGTCAGGGAGGAGGGAGGTTGTGTGGTCTGAGGAGATGCTGTTTTATAAGCCCTGGAAGGCTCCCCGGTTCTCCAAGATGAACTGGCTGAAGCTTTTGACGTTGGGGTTTAGCCGGTGGGTGAGTTTGATATTGCGGTCTGGTTTCATGTGATAGAAACGACACATGTCAGCAATTTCCTTCGCCACAGGGGATCCCAGTTTCTCATAAGCTTCCGGGGTGATCTTTTAAGAACAAGAAAAATTTAGGATATGTTATAACCCACTCTTTTTAAATCGCTTGATCAGAATCCATCCACCTTACTGATGACTGATTTTTGGCCCACTCCAAAACCCAAGAAACATGGAAATTCTCTTCATAAGTCATATGTCAGCAGACACTTTTTTTTGGTCAGCAGACTTTTTTGAACTAACTAAAGTGAGGGCAAAATCTGACCTGAGCTACACAAGACTACTAGTAGTATTTATCTCATTTAGTGAAGAAAAAAAAATTTATATAAGCTGCTGCCATACCCAAAAAGAAATGCAGCTTGTCACACACCTATCAGGACACTGTCTGACATCCTCCACAAAACCTACCCCTTGAGTCCCTTCTGACAGTAACTAGATCAATAGTGTTCTCTATTGATTGTCAATCAGCAAAGATCACAGCTTACTAGCTGATTCAATGTAATCTATCCTTAGCTCCCAGAGATAAACTCTCAAATAATGTTCCCTGACCTGAGACAAAATGGCATATACTCAAACAATTTATGTGAAACAATAATTGTCGCAATATCATTTATAATAAGGAAAAAAGACCCAATCTACATGTTCTGTAATAGAGAAATAATTTTTCAATTATAGCATATCCATTCTAAGAATATTATGCAGTTATTAATATAATACTTTTGAAGCAACTTCATAAACAATTGTACTATAAGTGGAAAAGCCACTAACATGTTGATTGTAACTTAATTTTATTATATATGTAAATCCTGATGCATATGTATGTTTGTATATATTTACATACATAGTGGCCTAGTGAGTGACATGGTCTGGTAACCTAAAAGTTGACAGTTTAAATCCACAAACTACTAAAGGTGAGACAATCTTTTCCTGTTAAGATTTACAGCCTTAATAACCTTAGAATCAACTTAAACAAAATAGCTTGAGTTTTTGGTGGGTTTTTCACCCCCTCTTTCTTTACTGGAAAAAATCTGGTGGCCTAGTGGAAAGAAGCTGCCCTGCAATCTTGAAGGCATGCGGTTCAAATCCACCAGCTGCTCTGTGGAAGGGTGGACAAGCTCCTCTGAAAACCCACCAGAAGGTCAGCTATGGGTCAGTTTCAACTCAACAGCATTCAACAACAATTGGAAAAAGACAAAAGAAAACTTCCCAAATCTTAACAGGAGCTGTCCCTGAGAGATTAAACTTGTAACTTTTTGTTTCTTTTTTATTTTTCTTATATTTTCTCATGATAAGCATTTATTCTTTTTAAAATTAGAAAAGAAATAAAAATTTTACTTTTAGAAATAGAGGATTCTACTTGAGAATATAGAAGGGGACTTCTAAAACATCTGAATCCTTGAGTCAATGCTTTTCATTGTCATTAATTTTGACAAAAGAGCTAACGTCCCTCTGCCAAGTAAGTGCTTCTTTTGTGCATTTCTATTGGAAAGAGATTTACCCTGGTCTCACTTTGTCAGCGAGTCATGGCCTTTGGAGTCTACACAAACAGTTACAGCCACATCAGAACTCCTTCCTGATGGGAGGAATCTCTTCTGCACAATCCACTAACTGTAGCAGTTAAGGAAATAGTCACCTTCAAGCCAGACACTACGTGCAAGTTAGACTCTGGAGGCTGGGGTGCCACCTGGTGGCCAAATACTGCATTCTCTTTTTTTATTATTATTATTTTATTATTTTTGTGTGAGTGTACCGTCAAATCAGATCTGACTGGTACAGGAGGAGACTGCCCCTCCTTCCCCGGCAGAGCATCTGGTGGATTTGAACCGTGCGCCTCTGGGATTGTAGTTGCAGCTCCTTGCCACTAGGCCACCAGAGCTCCCCTTGCATTCTCTTTTTTAAAATAAAAATCTTTTTTGTGTGTGTACCGTCAAATCAGATCTGACTGGTACAGGAGATTGTCCCTCCTTCTCCAACAGAGCATCTGGTGGATTTAAGAAATGCATCCTTCTCTTAAACCAGGAGGCAAAAAGAACACAGGCCAGACCCAGCTGTCAAGGAATCATTCCTATGCACCAGGACTCCACATATGGCAGCCGAATTTCCTCTACTGAGTTTTTCTTAAGGAAGTCAGGTGGCCTAGTGGGTGAGCCATTGTTTTGTCAACCCAAAGGCTGGTGGTTCGAATCCACCAACTGTTCTGTGGGGAAAAGATGGGCAATCTCCTGGGATTTACGCCTGTGATTTACAATCTCTGGAAATTCACTAGGGAGTCAGCAATGAGTTAATTCTAACTCAACGGCAAGTAACAATAGTTTTCAATGGTATATATATAGAGAGAGGCTCAATGTCAAGAAGACAAAGATTCTCACCAAGGGGGTTGAAAGTACTTCAGTCTTCAGAGTTTAAGTTCTTTCTGAAGGTACAGCATAAATCCCATTTTTTTTTATAGACCCCCATTAATGCCAGAAGCAGAAGTGGGCCATAAAAATTCTTAGCTTAAGGCAAACACAAATGTCTCGGGTAAAGTCTTATCTGTCCTTGCAAAGTAAAGAATTAACTAGTGTCTACGTGACACGAAAAGACTAAAGGCGGGCAAAGTAGCCAGCCCATCAAAAGCTGACCCACACGACTGATCCCCTGACCCACCAACCATGACCTCAATCTCCCCGCCCTGACAGTGGCACCCAGAAAAGCCATAAAAACAATTGTGAAGGGGGACTGGGGGCTTTTTCCCTTGCCACCTTCCTAAGTAGGGAGAAAGTCTCCACATGTGGATATACTCTGGAATAAAGTGCTGATTTGCATTTACAAACGTGTGGATTATTCTTTTGGGGGGCATTTCATGGGCAGAACACTTTCCACCTCAAAGTAATTTTCTTTCAAATTCTGTTAAACCTTAAGCCAAAGAGATACAGTCATGAGCTGTAAGATTCAGATGGCACCAAGAACAGGCTAAGATGGTTTTGTGAACTTGAAATCCCTTTCCATTAATTCTAACAGCCTGAGCTCAATAGGCTTCACTGAAGACTTACCAGAAATTTTGTTTAGTGGAATAGTAACCAAAGTGGCCCCTTGTGAACACAGTCATGTATCCCAAGAACTCACCTTTGCATCTCGGATGTCTTTCCCCAAGATCTTGGACAAAACGTCAGCGTACTGCTGTACGGTGAGAGCTTCCGCGCTGAGCCCCACAGCCTTGCCAAAAAACTCCTTTGGGGAATTGAAAATGCTAGTGACAATTGCTCCAACATCAGCCACAGAGATGCCATCCATGGGTATGTCCCCCATCGGCAGTGCTGGTTAAAAAAGGAGAGGAGCTTGTCACATCACGTGCTGGGCAGGTTTATCAACCCAGACTTATCAATTGCTTAAACAAAAGGTGGGGGAAGCTGGGTCATTACTCTGCATCTAACCATTTGTTGGACTGTAACTACGGTATCTGTTGAACTATGGAGTACAGTGTTCTAACTTCAGCTCACCAGTTATGCATCAGGACAAGAGGCTGCCATTGCTGTAATATTTCCTTCACTCCACAGACGTTGCCCAAATTATAGCCAAAAAATATCTTTAAAAGGCAGTGGAGTGTTAGTCATCAGCTGGCAGCATAGCAATCACCTGGAAGTCCTTGTTAAAATTACAGATTTCCATGGCACTTGGACCCAGGGACTCACACTTCTACACAAAGTTCTGGGTTCCGGCAGCCTCTCCTACAGTGGGCAAGGCCCCAAATCCTGACCATGGGTTCCAGGTCAGAAGGAAGGTGACTTTCTTCTCAGTTACCCCAGAAAGTGAAAGGAGTCAGGTGAACTAGTAGGGATATTAGAAGCCATCTTATTCAACTTTCTATTATATGGGAAGTTGAGGCTTGCAATTATATAGCTAACCACTCAATACAACAGGGAGCTCTGGTGGCCTAGTGGTAAGAAGCTGTGTGCTGCAAACTCAAATCCACCACTTGCTCCATAGGAGAAGATTGGATAATCTCCTCTCATGTGATTTACTGTCTCTGAAAACCCACTGGAGGGGCAGCCATGGGTCAGTTCTGACTTGATGGAACATAACAACAACAACTCAATTTACTAAGGGTCAGTTGTGTCTCGAGCCCAAATTCAGTTTTCTGCCTAGATTTCACAGCCACCCCAGTGAAATCTAGAGTAATGTAGTATTCCTCTGTGGGATTCACACAAGAGTTAACTAAGCAGGTAATATGCACTCAATAATATGTGTCCTCTTAAAGGAAAGAGGGGGTGGGGGGAGAAGGTGAGCAAGAGATGGGCGAGCTCGCTGTTGAGTTAACTTTCATCATCACCCTTTACCCAAAGTGTAGTAATCTCCATCAGAGGCTTTCGTCGGCTTCCATGATGTGAGAAAGTTTTCGAAATAAGCTGCCACACGGACGCTGGTCATGGGAACACCGATGGACCAGAAATACTCCTCCACCTCCCCCTTCCCATCAAAGTGTGGCACTTGCAGCTTGCCACCAGTCAGCTTCCTAACGTTCTCCAGGCCGCTGAACACCACGTGCTGCAAGCCCAGGCGCTTGGCGAGGTCGGCCACCATCTTTCCCTGAGGGTACAAAACAAACCCTTTATGCAGGATATTATCTCTGGATATAGATATAGATATAGATATAGATTATATAGATTATATAGATTATATAGATTATATAGATATAGATATATGGATAAAAGTAGGGGCGAGGGTCTCCAGCGTCTCAGTGTCAGATGGATGGAGGCACACTACCTCTCGAGCCTGGAAGAGAGAGAAGTCATATAGCTCTGCTGTGTCCGCTTGCTGTACAGAGGTAACTTGTGGTTGCTGAGAAGCTGAACACTGTAACACGGATGGGTCAGATGCAATAATGGTTACACATGGCGGACTGTATTTGGTGGCACTCCCTGGTTAAAACAAGCTTGGAAGCAGGAGTGGCGTCCACCTGCGTAATAGCTTGCCTCAGGAAACCCTATGAACATGGAGCAAGGATGAAAGTCACACAAGTGCAGAGGACTTTCATTCATAGGGTCGCTATGAGTTGCCTACGACTTGATGGCACTTAACAACAACAACAACATATGTTTAAGAGCAGGTGCTGGGTCCTTTCCACCCCTCTTTTTTCTTGTCTTCATCCCAGGTGGAGAGGTTCTTGCATCTCAAAATATCTTCATGCTACATTATCAATTTGTTATCCAAAACAAAGTCTCTACTTCAAAGATTCCAAAACCCTCAACTTGCTCCTATTAGGACCTCCAGAAACAAACACTGGAGAAGGATTAAGCACCCTTCTTAGGGTAAGGGCAATGGTGCCAAATGCGTTTTTATTCTCTCCATTTCACTCATGGGGTGGCCCTAATTGGCGGCCTTGCCGCCACCCTTATGTGCTTCCTGCGAGCAAATAATAAAAACTGAAGAGAACCACGTGACTACGTACAGTCACTCTAGAATACAAAAATTCTTGATATTTAGACAAACATAACTAGCATTCATTGCGCAAAGGTATCTCTAATAAGTACCTAAAGTATGTGCATTTCATAAACTCTAGAGAGATGTTGTGCAACATATTTTACCTCCGCTGAAGGCCAATCCACCTCTAGAAAGGACAGAAGTAGCCAAGTAAGAGGAAGGGGCTCAAAGGGACGTAGTTTAGTCCTCACCTGACACACTTCCTTCTCTATACTGAAGTGTTCCCAGAAGTTGGTCACCAGGAAGGCCCCATAGGCCCCTTTTAAGGCAGCCTCCACTGAAGCTTCATCATTCAGGTCACCTTTCACCACCTCCGCTCCAAGGTCACGGAGCGCCACGGCCTTTGGTCGAGTCACGTCCCTGGTCACTGCTCTCACAGCAAAATTTTTGCTCTCCAAGATGGCCTTGGCCACAGAGCCGCCCTGGGCTCCTGCAGGGTAAGAGGAAGATTGTTTACAATGACAGCTTGGTCAGTAATTCCATTATTCAGAGTGGACCAGCTGGAATGACTGCACCTGGAGGCGTTCCATGGCCAGCAGAAGTTATTGTCAAACTAGATTTCCTGGAGTCATAGAATGTCTCTTCAAATATGCCTTTGCAGAAAGAGCAGGAGAAGGGTGATGGGGAGAGGTTTGTAGCAACGAGAAAGCCAACCATCAGGGCACCAGATGCTCCCCAGCAGATTTGATACTCTCAACTCTACTTTTATCCAGTTGCTTATTTCCTATCGGGGCTCTTCATAAAGTTTCTATTCAAAAAAGGCTCCAAGTCTTGTCTTTTTAATGTTGTTGTTGTTGTTGTTATGTGCCAT